TCGAAAACAACTGCCATGGATCAGTTCTTAAGGAAGCTAGAAATTTGAGAACAAAGTGGGGGAGAGAAACCATAAGAGGGAAGTTTAGAAAGCAAAGACTTGTGCCATACCCTGTCAAATGCTTTGGAGATGTCGAGGGCCACGACGAAAGTTTCCCCATAATCCCAAAGAGAGGATGACCAAAGATGGGTGCAGTAGGAGAGCACAGCACCAGTAGATCTCGCCTGGCGAAAGCCATATTGGTGATCCGACAAAAGAGAATGGCGTTCAAGGTGACGGAGAAAATGGGAGTTCAAGATAGTTTTGAAAATCTTAGAGAGGGATGAAGTTAGGGCAATGGGGCGATAGTAAGAGGGATTAGAATGGTCACCCTTCTTCGGGATGGGCTGAACCAAGGCATGCTTCCAAGAAGAAGGAAAAGTTTGGGTTTTGAGGCAGAGGCGAAAGAGGCGAGCAAGCACAGGGGCCAGAGCTTCAGCACACTCCCTCAGAACACGAGGGGGTATTCCGTCCGGTCCATGCGCCTTCCCATTCAACCTGGATAACACACCGGCATCCCTGCGAGTGGAGATTATAGGAAAGTGCATAGGTTCAGTAGGAGGAGCAGGGGTAGGAGGGATAAAGTGGGAATTGTCTAAGGTGGAATTAGAGGAGAATAAGGTGCCAAAGAGATTGGCTTTGTCTGTACACTGATACCGATCGTCGGTAATTCGATGGCACTTGTGATATATCTATTGCTTCTGTACATACGACCCTGGCCGCTGGGAACCAGCTGTGGAAGTTGGGTAAGCAGTGAAAGGAGGGTCGTAACACTGGTGTCAGGAGTGGGATAGCCTAGCAGTGAGATATTAGGCAAGATGAAAGGTGAAGGTGTCTAGACCTGAAACCAGGCCAACCAAGAGGAGATTTCCATGGGTGATCTGATGTAATTCTTACACGTATAACGAGAAGAGCAAAAACAATTACTGCAAGAACAACGAGAAGAGCAGAAACATGAAAATGTGCAACTGCAAGTGAAATTTCAGGAACAACTGCGGGAACAGGGAGAAGAACAACAGCAACATCTGCATTTGATACAGGAAGAGATCGACAAGAACATTCATGAACGGGATGAGGTTCTACAAGCGATGTGTAACAGATGGAATGGTGTATTTTTTGAGGTGCAAGTTAAAGTGGGTGAAAATTTGAAAAAGTACAAACAAAAAGTGACGAGTGAGATGATATGGGTACGTGGAGAGCTAAAGAAAGTCAGTAGCAGGATGGAAGTGCTGGAGAATTGTCTAACAGCAGGGTAACAGCCAAGATCTGGTGACCCCTATAATTGTCACGGTGTGCGTGAAACATCATTTGTGCACACTCCGAGTGGAATGAAAAGTGTTGAAAAATCTGGAAAATACGATGAGCGTGTGGAAAAGGGAAGTGCTGAGCTGTATTACAGATCAACTGAGTTCAGACCCCAAGCTACGTCAAGTGAAGTAGTGAACTACCCAAGAGAGCCAGTGAAGGAGAAACCACAGAAATTTGATGGCAAGGTCTCATGGGAAGCAAACCAAGCACAGTTTGAGTTACTAGTGGAACAAAACGGGTGAGACGACAAGCAGTGTGCAGTACAATTAGCAACGAGTCTTAAGGGACGGCTAATAGAGGTTCTCTGCCAGTTGACAGGACCAGAGTTATATGTCACTGGTAAAGGTGCTGGAACGAAGGCATGGAACCAAGCACCAAAATGGGGTTTACAGGGCCAGATTCCGTACTCGTACCCGTAATCGAGGTGAAACATTGCAAGAGCTTCCTCAAAACCTGGAAAGTATGTCTCATAGGGCGTACCCTGGAGCATCACCTGATCTGTTAGCCGTGTTGTTGAGGGACCAGTTTGTGGACGCATTGGACAGCACGCAGGTCAAGATTCAGGTGAAGCTGTCCCAACCGGTAACTCTACAGGAAGCTTTGGCTAGGGCCCTGGAGTTTGAATCTTATGTGACGTCAAGTTTACCAAACTGCAGGACGGAGTCTAGGTCTGTGTTTAAAGCACGTAGGGGTCAGGTACAAGAGACAGAGATTTAAAGGAACCTGCTGGTATTGTGAGATGATTGGGCACAAACAGGAGAACTGTTACAAGCGGAAACAGGGAGAAGAGAAAATGTTGGACGTGTTTAGAAGATGGACACTTCAAGATTAGTGCCCACAGAATTCCAAGAGAGGAAAAGCAGAGCAGTCCACTAAGACGGGGAACTAGAGATGGCTGGTGCTGAGAGGTAACGACCAGCCTGTCTCACCAGAACCCCACTATTGACAAAATGCAACCGAGCCACTGTAAGCAGTGTCCAGGTTGAAGGTGAGATCGATGGTATAAGGTGTCCGTTGGTGATTGACACAACCTCTGAGCGGACGTTTGTGAGGCCGGACGTGGTTAGTCCTCTACAACTACCTGAGATGTCGCAGCAGCTGTGCGGGATAACTGAACAATGCGAGTACTGGACCTTGGCTCGATGCAGCTGGAAATCAAAGGAAAGTGGGTACCGTCGAGGGCTGTGAAGCCTACAAGTGCTAAGGTTACAGCTAAGCGGGCAGTAGTTATTCCTCCAAGATCGGAGGTGCGGTTGCCACGCAAGATGAACAGTGCCTTGCATACCTGCCTGGGAGTGGTGGAGACTGATTGACAGCATTGTAGCCAGATAAAGGTACTTCCCAAGAAGTGTAGTCGCACTACAGTGGAGGAGGATCCAGCCGTTGCTGGGGAAGGCCTTGAGAAGTTGCAGCTGGAAGACTAGTGGTTGAGTGGGAGACGATCTCTTGAGCAAGTCCTACGACTAAAAACTACTGGGCTCAGTAGGATGCTCTTCGGCTGAAGGATGGTCTGCTGCAGCGCCAGTGAGTGACTACCGATGGCCTCAACAGGTATTGGCAGACAGTACTTCCCCGGAAGATGAAGTCAGAGATCCTGAGAGAGATGCACAACAATCCAGCCAGTGGACATCTGGGAGTGAAGAAGAGCCTGAGTCGCCTTCGACAAAGGATTTACTGGTTTGGCATTCGTAAGGATGTAGAAGAATGGTGCCGTTCATGCGATGTCTGTTGCACCAAGAAGGGACCAAAGCTACACACGCATGCCCCACTACAGTTGTACCATGCAGGCGCACCAATGGCGAGGGTTGCAGTGGATATTGAAGGATCTCTGCCACTCCATGCAGGGGGCACAATTATGTTGTGGTATATCTCGACTTTAGCAAAGCCTTCGACAGAGTCCCCCACGAAAGACTATTAAGAAAAGTGGAGGCTCATGGCATTAAAGGAGATATTCTAAAATGGATTAGGGCGTGGTTACAGGACAGGAAACAGCGAGTGAGCATTAACGGCACTAAATTCGATTGAAGCAATGTCACTAGTGGAGTACCCCAAGGCTCAGTACTTGGACCATTAATATTTATTATATACATAAACGACATAGATATCTGCGTAGACAGCAACATATGTAAATTTGCTGATGACACTAAAATAGGGCGTGTAATTAAATCTGAAGAGGACTCCGCAAAACTAGAGGAAGAACTAAACAAATTTTTCTAATGGTCTGAAAAATGGCAGATGAAATTTAATGTGGACAAATGTAAAGTACTTAGTTTAGGAGATGTAAACAGAGAAACCAGATACCAGATGAACAACGATGTTATAGAGAAATCCGACTGCGAGAGAGATTTAGGAGTAATGATAAGTAGGAATCTTAAGCTATGTAAACAATGTGTATCTGCTCGAAACAAGAGTACTTGGGTTCATACAAAGGAGTGTTAGTTACAAGACTAGCGAGGTCATCCTAAAACTATATCTTGGGCTTGTGAGACCTCACTTGGATTACGCAGTTCAATTCTGGTCACCGTATAACAGAAAGGATATAGAATCTTTAGAAAGAATTCAGTGGGGAATGACAAGACTAATCCCGGACATTAGGAACCTTGAGTACAGAGACAGGTTGAAGCATCTTAATTTGCACTCCCTCGAGAGAAGTAGAGTGAGGGGCGATATGATAGAGGTGTATAAATGGAAGTCAGGGCTAAACAAAGGGGATATTACATAGGTGCCTAAACTATCCAACCAGGAGCGAACTCGTAACAATGGTTTTAAATTAGACAAATTTAAATTTTGGTGCGAAATGGGTAAACATTGGTTTGGAAATAGAGTAGTGGACGAGTGGAACAAGTTACCAAACATTATCATGAACTCGAATACGCTGGATAGCTTCAAACATAGGTTGTACGGATATATGAGCGATAGGGGTTGGGTTTCTCATGTTCTTATGTTCTGTGTGGCCATGGATTACTTCACTAAGTGTCCAGATGCTTATGCCATCCCAAATCAGGAAGCCACGACTGTTGCCAGTGTGCTGGTTGACCAGTTCTTCTGCCAGTTTGGTGTGCCACACGAGTTGCACTCGGACCAGGGCAGAAACTTTGGGGCACCTGTGTTCAGCGAGTGCTGTAAACTGTTGGGCATAAGGAAGACTAAGACCACTCCACTTCGTCCACAGTCAGATGGAATGGTAGAAAAGTTTAATTGGACCTTGGGAGAAGAACTGGCCAAGTACTGTGTTAAGGGGCAAACAGAATGGGACCAGAAGCTGCCTGCTCTGCTGATGGCGTACCGGTCGGCTGCCCACGAGTCAACTGGCTACACACCGGCAAAACTGATGCTGAGTCACGAACTGCGGCTGCCAGTGGACAGGAAGACCACCTGATGAAGAACTTCCTGAAGAAACCACCAATTATGCCAAAAGCTTCCAAGAAAGGTTGATGGAGGTCTACCACCAAGTTCGAGGTGCTCTGGGGTTCTCGGGTGAAGTGATAAGGCACAACCATGATATCAAAGCAAAATAAAGTCTGTTACAAAGACGGTGATAAGGTCTGGCTGTATAACCCTCTGCTGAAGAAGGGTCAGTCACCCAAGTTGCAGATCCATTGGAAGGTCCATACACTGTAGTGGAACGCGATTCATCTGTGACCTACCGGATCATGGGAAGAAGGAAGGCTCAGCCGAAAGTAGTCCACGCCAATCGTCTGTGGCAGTATCATGGGCCAGGGCAGTACACCTGGGAAGACTCTGGGGAGCAGTCACCTACCACCGACGAGGACCAGGCCGGAAATCCTGGAAGAAATCAGGACCGTACCGATCCAGGGAACCCGACCATGGACCAGGAAGAGGAGCACTGTTCCCTCTTAGTGGAATTGGGCGTGACAGAGGACCAATCTGAGGATGTGACTGAGGTTGCTGCGCCAAGGGAGGACTCTGAAGACATCCCAGTACGTCGGCGGCAGCAGCTGGTGAGGAGACCAACCAAGTTTCAGGATTATTATTTATATTGTGAATGGTTGTGTCAGAACAACAAGTATTAGGGAGGGGGTAGTGTTATACAGAGGCATAATTTGTAAATGAAGGAAATTGGAGACGAGTATTACTCCAAAATGACTTTGTTGAGACCACCTGACCATAATATATGTTATAAACTCACCCACACCTCCGCCAACGATCACTTCCAAGTACCGACAGGTC